CTGTCAGAAAATTTCAAGGGTTTTAAGAGATCAGACCAACAACTTCATACAAAACTTAAATGGGATTACAGGTGTTCACCACCATACACACCTTTGACTACTATTTTTAGTACGTTCTGTCTACATTATATATTTCAAGCTTATTAAATTTAATCACTTTTCAAGGTTTTATTGAGAAGCTTCTATATGCCAGACTTGAGATACTGGGCAATATGGCTAGCAGTAGTGACTAGCAAATGTTGGCCTCTAATTAATGTAGTCTTAGGAGTGGTGTAGGTCTTGTTCTATCTGTGACCTGGTTTCCTGAGCATTAAGAAGATAATTAGCCAAGGGACTATATAGTGTTTTGTGTTGAATCCTGATTTGACAAAATAATTGTATTCTCCACTCTACCACTTAACTGAACTTGTGAAAATTCCTTAATTTCTGTGTCTCATGGTCCTTAACTGTAACATAATAGTCATCCCTTCATTGCAGTACTTTGGACACAGCTGGTGCTTGGTATGTAACATATGATGCATTAGGTACATTCCTGATGTAATACATGATGTACATGATACTAGCAGCTGTTTTTGTTGTTTTATCAGAGTTTCATTTAATCTTTTAAGGAATAAGCAAAGTATGTCATATTGTTTAATTTGAAACATTTTATTCAGACTTTCCTTTTTTATTCATAGGCATTATTATTCCCAATGAAGTATTTCATAACCTTGCAGTGGTCATGGTATGTAGATATTCTAAAGCATTTTTAAAGGACTTTCTGGTGAAATACAAGTATCTTTCAGCTTTGTGAACCTGACTTCCCACCCAGCTAGTAAATTGAGTGCCTTAGGCTTTGGGTAATCAGGAGCACCAGGAGTACGTAGTACTGGACTAACAGATGATGACCCTGCTCCAGTTTCTTTCATTGGAAAGATTGATACTTGATTGCCAGGATTGTGCTTTTTAGACTATAGACTTTTAGACTATTGGTATCAAAAACAGCATTGAAAATTTTCTGACTTCTATGATCTTTAGGATAGTTCTGTAATATTTTAGTGGAATCCACTTTGTTGTCTTTTGTGTTGTTTCTCTTAGAGATTCTAAGCAAAGAGAATAGTTGGGAGTTGTCCTCCAGTTCACTGAAGACCCTTTTTCTGACAGTTCTGGCCCTTACCTGTAGACATGGCTTGTGTTTTACTTGCAGTGCTGTCTCCTACTGGCTACATGTAATTGGACAGAACATGAGTTTTCTGGGGATTTAGAATTGAAACTAAATGCCAAGCTAGTCTTTCATTATTGGAACTGAAGTGATAAAGACTGAATGTGTCTGTAGCCATTTCCAACCTTGTATATAGAGAAAGTCTGAAGAGAGAAAATGGCATAGACAGGCAGAAAGAAGCAAAGATAAAACTCAGTACTGTATGGATTCTTACTCCAGTATTTTGTTGGGCCCAGCTGTGTGTTTTGTTTTATTTTGTTTTAGTACTGGGGATCAGGTCCTTGAATTTGCAAGGTAGGCGGTAGAACCACTGAGCTAAATCCTCGACCCCCCAGCTGTTTTTAGTGTCATAACATATCTCAGTGACCTTCAAGTACATAGCCATTTTCTTGCATATATTTGCTAAAATTGGTTTCTCTTACTAGCAAAAGAACTCCAACTAAAAACACAATATTAAACTTAAAATGTAGATGAGTATGTATACATGCCAAACAATGATGTTAGTCCCCTTCCTCTCACTGTATGAGTGAGTCATCAACCCGAATATAAGAGCTTAAAGTATATAGAATTCTTACAGAGAAACAGAGTAAATCTTTTTTGCTTTGAATTAGTTACAGGTTTCCTTGATATGACACCAAAAAATGCAAGATAGATAAATTGACCTTAAAATTTAAAACCTGTGTGTGTGTAGGGCCAGGGATTTAGCTCAGTTGTGCTGTTGCCTGCCTCACAAGCACAGGGACCCTAGTTTGATCTCCAGTACTCTCCCCAAAAAAAACTTGTATGTAAAACAAGCCATCAAGACAGTGAAAAGAGGCTGGGCATGGTGTCTCACACCTGTAATCCTAGCACTCTGGGAGGCTGAGGCAGGAGAATGGCAAGTTTCAACCCAGCCAAAGCAATTTAGTAAGTCCCTATCTAAAAATAAAAAACTTTTAGGTGCATGATGAAAAGAAGAACCTTGAAGTCCAGTCTTGACCTTCCCTGGTTGGGGGAACATTTGAAAGCCTCAGACCTCCAGAAAGGCTTGGCTTGTGCAGTGTGTATGCCCGGGTGTTGTGAGTAAACAAGACTTTCTGTGATTGCACTGTTGTAAAGATCTTCCTGATGTAAATCATGTTCTTATTTCTAAAGTGGATTTTAAATGTTTGCATCATAGAACTCCAGTAAGTGTGCTTTTCACTATATTTATCCTTACTGTTTTTCACTTTTTTGATAAACATTTATGAAGCTCCTACCAAATGTCAGAGTGTATCACTTTGTGATCCTTGGGGTTAAGAAGACAAGCACACTCCCTGCCATTAAAAACTGAGTGGAGTGAAAGACCAGCCTGTAATCCCAGCTTGAAATAAATAATAGCTGCTACCAAAAACTTTTTTTTTTGAAGCTGGGGATATAGCTCAGTGTGAAGGCCCTTTGGGAAAAAAATAAAGAAGGTGGGGTGGGGGCTGGGGAGATTATATATGTTCCTATGTCCTGAATATTAAAAAACAAAAACTTGCAATTTGATCATGACAAACACCCTAATTTTTCTTTTTTTGCAGTAAGAAGAATTGAACCCAGGGCCTTCTCACTGAGTTGCATCCCCAACTCTTTATTTTTTATTTTGAGATAAGATCTTGCTAATTTGCCGAGGCCAAGCTTGAACTTGGTGATCTTCATGCCTCTGTGTCCCACAGTGCTAGAATTACAGGCATGTGCCATTCAATCTGGTTCTAATTTTTCATTGCACAAACAGTCTGAGTAGACATGTCACCAAAGAGGATATACAAATGGTAAAAATACAAACAAACAAAAACCTTGAATAGTCACTTAGCATCATTAACCATCAGAGAAGCCCCAAGACAGTGAAAAAACACTTCACATTCAATTTGGATAGCTGTCACTAAATAGTATGTTGGCAAGGCTGTGGAAAAATTGGAACCCACATACATTACTGGCAGGATTGCATAATGTTCCAGTCACCTTGGGAAACAATTTGGTTATGCTTCAAATGTTAAACGTGGAGTTATCATGGGACTCAACAATTCTATACCTAGCCATATACCCACAGAAACTGGTATGCAAGTGTCAACACATCATTGTTTGGAATAGCTAAAAAGTAGATAGTGCCACATGTACTTCTGTCACTTAATGGCAGAGACAATGAGAAGTGCACATTATACAATTTTTGTCATCATACAGATGTCATAGATGATGCTTACAATAGAAACTAAGCATCACTGGGCAAGATAATCTTAAGAGACCACCATTGTATATGCTGTTTATCCTAGGCCAGAATGTTATGTTGTATGTGATGGTACATCTATAAATGGGATAATAATTCAGCCTTAAAAAGGAGCAGGGTTTTAATACATGCTGCAGTATAGATAAACCTTAACACACTCTAAACCAGACATAGTGATGCCTATCTAGCCTACAATCCTGACACTCAGCAGGCTGAGACAGAAGGATTATGATTTTTGAGGCCAGTTTGGATTACAAAGTGAGACCCTATCTCCAAAAAAAATGCTCTAAGAAGCAAGACACAGCATGCCTGCCTGACCAGTGCAAATGCAAAGTCCTGAGTTTGATCCCCAGTACCAAAAAAAAAAAGCAAGACACAGAAGATCACATAACATGATTTCATTTATATGAAATGTCCAGAATAGGCAAATTCACAGAGGCAGAAATTAATGATTTCCAGGAACTGGAAAGGAGATAAGGTATGACAGTTAATCGATAAAAGGTTTCTTTTTGGGGATGATGAGATCTAAGGTTAGATTGTGTTGATGCTTGTACTTTAAATGGATAAATTGTGTGCTATGTGAATTGTATCTCACAATGAGAACACTAAGCTGTTTTTAAGAATAGATAGTAAAGTTAATTAAAGCTAATTTGAATAAAATTTAGTACTGATTCTATTTATCAGTTTGAACTACAGTAAAAATTTAAATGTAGTTTTTATTCCCAACCTGTCTCATTGCCATTCTGTTCTTTGGTTGAAGAAAGGCAAATCTGGTGTTATGGAAAGATCTTGGACTTTGCAATTATTAGACCAGGATAAACATAAGTGTTCTTCTGTGGTCTTCGACAAATAATGTTATTTCTTATAGTATCAGCTTGAAAAACGTTAAGATGGAGTTCACGCTGAGTTTGAGAAGTTTGGAGTTTTTCTTCCTAGCATTTGTTAAAAGTATGGAGTTCTTGCTAGGAAAAAGAAGTATGTTTAGGTTCTATCCTTGTTTCAGTGTATTTGTTCACAGCAATACTTAAGCCTTTTGCAAGCGGAAGTGGTATCCATCTTGCTCTAGTGCCTAGTACTATACCTGAGAAAATAGGTTCTCAGTTTATATTATTTGAAGAAACTAAGATTTAATGACCTTGTTGGTGACTGTGGAGCATTAGGTGGTGGAGGCAGTTGAAATATTAACTGAAAAGTTATTCTGCTTTAATCTCTTTTGTCTTTTTAAAAATTATATCATTGATTTTTTTACTTTCTAGATGTTTGTATGGTATCTACAATTAATTGTACTCTAGTATATTCAACTATAACTTTTAAAACTATATTTACTACTTAATAGCATTTCTTGCCTTTTTGATTAAAAATATTTTATAGTGAGTTGGTAATAAAGTTGCTTTTAAAGAAATCTGGTATACAATAATTGTAGCTGCTCTCACATACTGAATTACTTAGTGGCTGATATGTAGCAAGTTCACTGTTTTATGTCTCACTTAGTGATGATATGGAGTATGATTCAATTTTATGTTAGTATGATAGCTACATGATTTTAATAGACTAGCCTTTCCTTATTTTCAGAGATCCTACATATTTTGATGAAAATTGGCTAAACAGAATAAAAACTGAAGTGGGAGACAATTGGAGGCTAAAGGTATGTCTTTTGTCTTCCCATTTATTAAATCTTTAAGTACTTTTTGTATATAAATATTGAGTTTTTATCTAATATGTCTAGTGAGCTTTAGACACTTGGAATCATCTGAAATTGAAGACATGGAAATAACCTGAATTGCCCATTAAATGCAACATAAAGCAATGAAACACGGTGTATGAGTGCATGAGTTTTGGATCCAAGCACCTATGTTCACATCATACTTCTCCCATTTATTCTCCATGGAGGGAGTATTTGACCTTAAATGGCTCAACTTGTACATTGTAGAATGAGGTTTACAATGGGACCTACCACACAGAAATAAAAGTTGGAATATATTTAGAATAGTCACAGTACATGTGTTAGTTGCTAGTGCTGTTGTCAATGAGAAAATATTTGTTAATTTTTTATATTAAACTATTATGTTTGTCTTGTACTCAGTTGTTTCTCTCTTTAAACAGATTAGCAATTTAAAGAAAATTTTAAAAGGAATCCTGGATTACAATCATGAGGTAAGGACTTTTTTCATTGTATTTGAAATTTATGGCATAAGTTTCAAGTTAAGGAAAATTTGCCTTCAAAATTCAGTTTGTCTTCCATTGTACAGTTTGTAGGATGTTGGTACAGACACCTATTAGGTGGTAAGTAGATGAGTAATTCATTATATATGTGCATTTTGTTGATGACTACTAATTTAGTTAGATTGTGCTTTTTCATGCTGATTATTCTCTCCATTCCTCCCTTGTGGTGTTTTTGTTTTTGTTTTTGTACCAGGGACAGTGGAAGCAGTCGGGAGACCACTGAGCTAAATCCCCGGCCCTTGTCCCTTACTTGTGAAAGGAGTCAAAACCTGTACACCATTAGAATCAATCCCATTACCTACTTCAATTCTGTCTTTTGGCAAACTCCTAGCCCTACAACTTTATCCTCTTTGATCTACATCAGAAGAGTCTGGAATTGCTGGGGGAAAATTCAAGTACTGGAAGGAACTGATTTTACTCGTTTTTTTTGTTTTTGTTTTGTTGTGTTGTGTTGTAGGTTTTGTTTTTTGTTTTGTTTTGTTCTGTTTTTGTACTTGAGGTTGAACCCAAGATCTTTGCACAGAGTTGCATTCCAATCCCTTTTTCTATTTTTAATTTTGTAATAGCTTTCACTAAGTTGCCCAGGCTGAGCTCCAACTTGTGATCTTCCTGCCTCAAGGGTTACCTTTCACTCTCATCCTGGAAATTCCTCTGGCTCTGTCCTGTCTTATATTCCTTTTACTGAATCATTTCTCTTGCCTGGTTTATTTTATTATTTTGGTGGAACACATTTTCCTATGCCATCTTCAGAAGAGTACATGATAGGTAATATTTTCAGGCCTTGTACATTTGAAAATAATCTTAGTTCTCCCTTATGTTGAATTTGCTGTCGAATTTCAGTTAGAAAATCGTAGTATTTCGAAGATCTCTTACTACATTGTTCTCTGGATTCCAGTGCTGCTCTTTCAAAAGCTTCAGTCTTTTGTGGGGATTTCTATCCCTTGTTAGTAACTTGTTCATTTTGTGGAAATTTTAAGACCTTTTCAATCTCCAAGGTTTATGTTTGTATGCTTTGTTTTAAGGTGCATGGGTGGGTGGTTTATTATGCGTAGCACTTAGCAGTCCTTTAAAACTGAAGACCTACTAGTGTTTGGTTTTGTGATTTTTGTTTTGTTTTTGTGATAGTGGGGATTGAACTAGGGCCTTCCTACTGAACTTCATTTCAGTCCTTTTTAAAATTTTAAATTTTGAGACAAGATCTTGCTAGGTCACTTAAGTTGCCCAGGCTGAGCCTAAACTTACGATTCTTCTGGGGCAGCCTCCCCAAATGCTGAGATTACAGGTGTGTGCCATTGTACCTGGCTAAATACTAACAAGTTTTAATTCTAAGGAAGTTTTCTTATATATAAATACACATGTATGTATTTACTCATTTTTCCCACATTATTTTGTTTGCTTTTTTCCTAAAACTGTTTATTCTCCTTAATTATCTAACTTCTTTTTTCTCTCATGTTTTGCTCTTTCTGTGATTATTACATAACTTTTATCCATTAATGCTTCTGTTTTTGCTAACTCATTTTTGATTCTCAAGAGGTCTTTTTTGTTTTCTGAAGGGAACTTTTATATATTCTTGCATTACTTTCCTATTTTATTCATTTCTTCACCCATCTGCCCAGATTGTAGTAAGCATCAAAATGAGCAGTTTTTGCATGTCCTTCTAGAGGTTGATATTCCTACACAAGGCAGAAATTAAGCATAGTGATACATGACTGTAATCCTCATACTCTGGGAGGTTCAAGTAGTAGTATTACAAGTTAGAGCTCAGCCCAAACAGTTTAGCAAAACCCTCCCAGCATTGAGGAATGCTAAGGCAGAAAGATTGTGAATTCAAGGGCAGCCTAGGCAACTTAGTCAACTCCGTCTCAGAATAAAAAGGGATGTAACAGTGATAGACTACCCCTCGACTCCACTCCCAAGACTGCAAAGAGGGATGTCACTGGGAATTCAGCTCAGTTCAAAGGCGCTGGATTTAACCCCTTTAATTGTGGATTGTTTGTTGATATTTAAAAACGAAGTAAAGCTGATAGGAATCTAAGTGAGGGTGTGTATGTATGTATATATATGTATATGTGTGTGTGTGTGTGTGTGTGTGTGTGTGTATTTATATATATGTTGTTAAATTTCAATTTGGGATTATCAGGCAGAGATCTTTCCATTTGTTTGCATATGTCATTTCATTTGAGGCCAGTCTGTTTCCCCATAAAAGAATCCTCCATTCTTCCTGTTATCGTTACCTTGCTACTAGTGTTTTTGGAATCAAATGCAGTGAAGATGGCTAAGGAAAGTCTTAGTGTTGGCATGAATTTTTGTTTACTCAGCTCTTTCTGTGCCCCCTAGTTGATAACCTTCTGCTTCTAGTTTATCAGAAAGTAAACCATACATTGCTCCTTAGTACACAGTTTGTTTCACTGTGTACGTACCACATACCAGATTAGGGACTCAGTTGCTGTGACTGCGTATAGTTATAACTTAGGTGTGGGAGGTAAAAATGGAAATCTGTAGTGAGACTGGCAGAACAGCTCTCCTTGGCAGTGAGTTTTTGGAAATAAACTAATCTCTGTCAAATATTTTATTTGGTTTATAAAAGCGAATGCAATTGAAATGTTTTTGTCTTCATTCAGATTTTGGGACAGCAGATTAATGACTTTACCCTTCCTGATGTGAACCTTATTGGGGAGCATTCTGATGCAGCAGAGCTTGGAAGGATGCTTCAACTTATTTTAGGCTGCGCTGTGAACTGTGAACAGAAGCAAGGTAATTCATTGGAAGTTAGTGTATGCATTTAAAGTACTGAAAGAAAGTAATATGTAACATATGCTATATGTTATATATGAGCAACAGAATAAACAATAACATCTTTGTAATGTTGCCCATCTTCTGGTTCCGTAGTAATTTGTTGCAAGCTTAAGTGAGTTTTGCAAATTAGAATAAATTTGATTATGTTGCTATTTTTCCCTTTCTGCAAGACCACATAATTCTTTGAGTAGATTGTTTAATTATTGTGATGCTGCTAGCAAGGAAATCGGGGCCCTGGGCATGCTCAACACTCACTCTTCTCTTGATTTACACTCCTACTCCAAGCACATTGTTTGCAATACATTTTATCCATACCAGGAGTCATAAAAGGCACTGTTGATTAGGCAAGGTCTGCCTATTAGTTTGCAACAGATGAACAGAAATATATGTCATTTCATTGCAGATTCAGATTTGCTTTCCCAACATACATCTATTACAGATGCCTTAGATGATTTTTTTAAAATGTATTTTGAAACATTCATAAGTGTGTCCTTATTGTGGGGAAAGAGGAGGAAAGAGTTATCATTATAAATAGACTCTTAAAAAAATAGATTTGGAATTAGGTTCCCCACTTCTAAATCTGATACCTGTTCCTCCATAAAAAAACCACTTCCTAGAACTGGGCATAGTGGTTTTACCTTTAACTGTCTTTGAAAATAAAGAATTCTATTATATATTATCAAGAATTTTCATTCTAATTATAAATAATTATAAAACTTAGAAATACCACAAGATATTTCTTTTCCTTTTTTCTGTCAGTCTGTCGTTGTCGTCATCATCGCCCCCCCACCCCCCCACTGGGGAATTGATCCCAGGGCTTCACACATCCTTGGCCCTTCTTATTTTTTATTTTGAGATAGGCTATCACTAAGTTTTCTAGGCTGGCCTAAAACTTGTGATGGATATTCCTGCTTTAGCTTCCTGAGTACCTGAGACTACAGGTGTGCACGACTGCACCTAGAAGGATATTTCATATTGACATATTCTCAAAAGAAAGCCTTGAAATTGAAGGGCTTTTGAAGATATGTTTCCACAAAAGTGAACAAAGACTTTCAAAATAAATCAGCAATTTTCCTATTGTCTCAGTGTTAGAAAAATCTCGCTAACCATGTAAATCTGAACTATTGTCTTTTATTTTCCCTTGTTTCCTTTATGTTATTGTCTAAAATATCCAACTTTGTTTCCAGAACTGAACTGGTCCAATATATTAGATCATTATTATTGTTGTTGAAATACTGATTTACTGATTCAGTTTGTAAAATTGGAGTTCAGGAAGTAATTGTACGTTTGCTTGATTTTTAAATCATGGGATGCAGTATCCAGTCAACTATGTCTAGATGATTCCACTCTCAAGTGTGGAGGGCATAAGGCAGATTACTCAGTCTTTGTTTGAGGGTTTTTTGTTGTTGTTGTTGTTGTTTTTGAGACAGGGTTTTACTATGCAATTCAGGCTGGCCTTAAACTCACTGTGTAGCCCGGGCTGTCCTCAAACTCAAGGTGATCCTCCTGCCTCAGCTTTCCAAGTGCTGGGATTACAAGCATGCATCACCATGCCCAGCTAAAAAGAACATTCGTACTTTGTAAGGTTATTACGGGGGCTAAATGAGATAATTATGTAAAATAGTACAAATTCTTACATAATAATAATTCAAACTAAGTTATATGGAAACAACTATATATAGTATCTTTTTAAATTTTTATTTATTCTTTTAATAAATTTTATTTTTATCCCACTCCTGCCTCAATCATTGATTTTAGTTCAGTTTTTCTTTTCTCTTGTGTTTTGTGGACTTTTCAAATGTCAATTTTTATATTTATCTAATAGGGCCAGTGATTTAGCTCACTGGTGCCACATCTGCCTTGTAAAGGCAAGGTCCTGAGTTGGATCCCCATTACAAAAAAACAAATAATTATTTTATATATATGTGTGTGTGTGTGTGTGTGTGTGTGTGTGTGTGTGTGTGTGTGTGTATTGATTCATTGTTTTATTCTATGATCATGTGAAATGTAAATTAGTAAAATCACAACCTTAGACTTAGAGAAGGCTATTCTTTAAAAGTTAGTTTGCTTTGTTGGGGATTTAGTAGAGTGGCACTGTACCTGCCTGGCAAGCACAAGGTCCTGAATTTGAATCCCATTACAGGAAAAAGAAAAAAAAAGTCAGTTTGCAGACTTTGTTAGAAAAATATGGTATGCTATTCTTTTCTTTTTACTCTTTTGTTTTAGTTTTTGCTTTTTTATTTGGTTCTTGGAGTTGAACCCAGGGACTTTGCACTGAGCTACATCTCCA